TTACACCGTCGAACTTCTCAGGGAGTTTCCACATCATTTGATAAAATGAACCGCGTTTAGCAGAAAGGAACGAAGCCACATCATCTACATTCAAATTTTTGGGTAGTTTAATTTTCTACATGAGAACATGATGTGTACGAATTCCTTTGAAAATTGTAAGGAATTTTCTTCGCACCATGTAAAAATCCACTGAAATGTGCAGAAAAATCCGCACAACCGTTTGCACGTAGAATTGTTCAATTAAAGTCAGCAATAGCTGATGTGGCTTTGTTCCTCTCTTTTGAACGCGATTCAAATAAAGGGCACCGTTACAAATCTCGAAGTGGCATCCCGAGTGAACTTTTCTCCGGAACCTATATTGCGCTCCCAAAAAACCCGGTTGATGTGAATGTGGAGCGGAATTCACTCCGTAGAGCAGTAGATTTTGCCTCGCATTCGTTTTGGTTGTTGGGGAATATTGTAAGCTCCATTGTAAATTTCATTCCGATATTTGAAATAGTGGAAGGGAAGAGGGTTGCGGTGTGAAGTCATAAAATTTTACACCAAGAAAAAATTTCGGTTGTATGCATCTAACTTTGGTCCATGCAGAAAACCCTAGTTTTTAAAAACTTTATTTTAGTTGTTAAAACCAAAGTTTTTGGGTATAGAAACCAAACTTCGGTTTGAGAAGGAAGAGAGTTCTAGAGCGAAATAAATCGCCGGTAAAGAATACGAGTCTTAAGATAAGTAACAAAAACTTCGTTCACCTGAATCAAAGTTTCGTTCTAATGACCAAACACTTCGGCTGCATGGACCGGTATCGTTTGAGTATGAACCAAAGTTTTTTCTCCGTGTATATTACGATTTGGGGTGAGGGGCTTCGCAACTCGATGCATAGAATGACTCATTTTCACACGCTAGATTATTCCAACGGATAATAAGAACCCAAGTTCAAGTCTAAACTTGATCAAGATATGGTACAATTCACGTCATACCCCCCAAAAAAGCCCCGACTCAGGCATGTATTGCCGTATGTATGGCACGTATTGGCCGAAGCTGTATTGAGATTGTTCCATACATTCTTCCTATTTTAAGTGAAATACTCTTCGATAGCTCAGAAACAATACCTCCTATCTGCAAATTGACGATTTTGCAGGACAAAGAAAAACTTCGACACAACTTTTCGAATTTTGCGGTTAGTTCTGCAATTTTTTCCTACAATACAGCGTCATTAAAGCGCTCCTGTACGGTATTGTAAAAAACTAAAAACATCAGCTTCCATTTTTTATACTGCAAAATACGGCAAAGTTGTGGACTCATTTTGGCCAAAATTGTCGGTTAGGGTATTGCTCCTTAGCCTTCGTTATGAGGAATGCATTGTGGCGCTTAAGCTTGAATCTTGATGTCTTCAGTGTTTCATCAACAGAAAAAAACAGATTACAAAGAGTAAGGATGAAGTAATCGTTTGCGTGATTAAGTCAATTCTGTTTCGCCTTGCGTGGAACATACTTATCGCTCAAATTCGCTGAAATCGCTTAAAAAATTTCAAATGAAAGTTTTCCCTCGTGAGAATTAAATAGCGTAATTAATGTACTGCTAACGCTACGAACAGGCACGATCTAAAAAGAAAAGGAAAAAAAAATTGACGCCATGAATTTAACTCAATGACTGCAGATTCAAACTCTGTCATTTTCCAACTATTCAGATTTCTATTTCAAGACAAAAATGTGATTAATTACATTCACTGTGTCTCTTTCCCTTCGAAAACTTCTGGTCACATTTCAATCCGAATAAATGTTGACCAATCGTTAAAATTGTGTAGACTCTGCGAGTCTTTTAATGCCTTCTCAGCCACCATCCTAACAAATATTTCTTAAACTTTTTTTTTTTTTTTTTTGAAAAACGAACATTATTCAACATCGAATTTTTGATTCATCTATTCTACTCTTTATGACAATCAATGTAATAGTTTCGCAGTAATTTACTGTAAAAATACTGTAGATTTATTTTGATTTATTATCAAGTTCACCTTCAACTCTATAAATGCAATTTGAGCAGCTGAGGAGTTGAAATAGTTGCATCACGCATCCTAGTTTGGCGTGATGTCCAGGGACGAGTGACTTTTGTTGTGATCTTCGTACCTTTAATGACCATCGTAGCGAAAGGTACAATTAATTTTACTCGATTCCTCCTAACGAAAAATATTTTGATAATGACATTGAGGAAAGTTGAAAAAGTTAGAATCGACCACACCACTCTTGCAGTCACACCTGAATAACTGGACACAAAAACATTCACTTGCCCAAAAATGTATCATTATTTCCGACCAAAAGAAACCTCTTAGCAGATTCGCACGCATTGAGGGCCTAAAATAGGGCGAAAGTGCACCGCGTAACATTTGAATTTTGAGAATCTTCTGGGAGCCCCCCCCCCCCCCNCAAGTAGTCAGAATTTTGTTTCGGGGGGAGGAGCTTCACCAGGAGAGGTGGAGACATCCCCCTCAGAATAAGGGGGATCCGGGGGTCCTCCCTCAGGAATTTTTGAAAACTATATTTTTTTTTGCTTTTGAAGGGAGGAGGCTCGGCACCAAGCCCCTCCGAGTATACGTGCCTACCCCGTTCACCCTCTTTATTTTACCCTATCTTTTTTTTATTCCACGCGCAGCCTCTACTCTTTCTGAGGGAAACACACAAAAACAAGGCAAATTCATCCAAATAATTGAATCAGACAATTTTTTTTTTCACGAGTGTTTATTTACCCATCCGCTGAGTCCTTGTTTTATCAAAAAAAAACCAAGGCCACGATAAACTCCGCGTCGCAGATTCTAATTTCAGAACGTCGGCCCAAAATTGTTAAAATTTGACACACTCGAGAGTCTGGGAGTGATCTTAATTGGTGGAATTATCGTAACTCACTCGCGTTCGAAGTGTCGATCATAAAGACTTTGCGTGCAAAGCGTTACGCAGTAGCGCCTCTTGAGAACCGTCAACGGCTCCGCATTCCTTGAATGCCTTACATCATAGAGGTCTGACTCGACTGGAAACGAATTTATTCTCAGGGTGATGTTAAAGAGGACCGGATCACGATACCTCTAACTGATTTCCGGCAATCTCTCGCAGACTTTATTGCGTCGCAGTAATTGGGAAAAGTGGAAGGTGGACTCAGTGTTGCCGGTAGGCAAGTCTGGAGTACCTTATTTATAGAGTGGTGAGAATGGGACACTGGGTCTGGTTGAGGAACATTGACACAAAAGCGATTGGGAGGTCGCGCATTTTCGCCTTGCGCTTTTCGCCTTCAATTTACGAGGTAGGCCAGGAACCATCCTTCGTGCAACAATAGTTATCTACTGGAAGATACAGTGCTAATGTTCTTTGTGAATTTCACCTCGCAGATTCATTTGCCAAACTCTAAGCCGACGATTTTAATTTCCAAGTCTATATTATTGGTAAAAATAAATACGGAAGAAAAAAATAATGCACACCCTAGTTTATCCAGCGGGCTGATTATTGAAATCGATGGAAAAGAGCGATAGACAAAGAAAATACAAGGAGTATGGGGATATCCTATCGGTTGATGCGGGTGGTTCTTATAGACCTTGGGGGGAATTGACGGACTAACTGTAGGGTCTCTTATCGATTGCCGTTAGTTAGTCTATAACTTACCCCCTTTATCCATTGCAACCGTTTGCTTCCACCAATAGGATCCCATCACATCCCTTTTGTCTATAGCTTTGTCCATCAATTTCAATAATCGGCCTGCAGGAAGCATTGCTTCCCGAACGTGTGCAGAAAATGCCACTGGAGTTTCCCATCCTGCGGGAGATCTATTGCAGTTCGAAAGCAACTTGCATGCTGTGAAAATTTTTCTCCTGAGGAGAGGGGGGGTGGGAGCGGGTAACGTCTTTCAACATACTTTCTCGGAGGAAATCATTCCGTTTATTTAAGGGAAGGAATTTAGCCGTAGGATGGGTTTTATTACTTTTGAGACTAATCTAACTACCAACCATCAAAATCTGATTCTTTGTTACGTGTAGATAATCCGTTTGGAGGAGTCTAACTACACTATTTTCAAAAGCGAAACGATGTATGTATTCTTTTCATTTGTGTTGGCAACAGTGAATCAATTAGAGAGGGATACTCCAATTAAGTTCAAGACTCATCATAGGCAAAGTGATGTAATGTAAATCTTAGAAAGGAACCTATAACGCACACTCTTCTATGTTATGGTTTGGAGTGTTACCTATATTTGTCATGACTCTAATGCATGACCACTCTCAACAATTTTTCAACAATGTTGCTCCTGATAATTATCGGACTATTATTAATCCCCGAATGGAGTGTAGGTAGACTAGCATTTAGAAATACATGACTAAAGTAAATAAATAAACAAACTGTACGTTTACTTATAATACAGCGTCTTCGAACTTCAATCTTTCGATCATCCATTCATGGGATCGTATGGTTTCTCACCCTCTCTAAGTAATTTTCCGGTTTCCCTGTATAAAACCCCATTTATTATAGAAAAAAATTGATCTGAGTCATAAATTAATTATGGCAAAATCCGAGTAGAAATTATCTACATTGCGCAAGAAACTTCACTAATTACATTACATCATGCGTGTAGAGTGCTTCTGGAAACACTTTATAAACTTAGATCACTGGAGTGTGGAGGATTCCAAAGATACGCACTCTCTATAAATTTCAGAATTTTGCTTACCACTTACCATTCTATACCGATGCAATCACTACCTTGCCTTTCCTGAATCCAAACTCTTTCCGCTATAATGTCAAAAGAGAAATTTTTAACAAAGATCTCATACTCTGTTTCCGGGTTGGTGACACGTGTGCATAAATATATGCCGTTTACCGAAGTAGAAGGGATGACGAGGGGTATTTTAAGTCTTGGTATAAAATTTGACTTGATGAGGATTGATTACTTGCGGCAACATACATGACCAATACGGTATCCTGTCAACAACACAATGTATTAATGAACATTTTTCTGCATTTGTGTTGTTTCAGAATGAAGAGAGTGTCCGATCACAGACTGGCAGAACTAGAGACACTCTTGGCCCTATCAAAAATGAAGGGACAAGTAATGACAGTCCCCCTTGGCTACGGAAAAGTTGACCCTGAGAGAATGTAAGTATTTAAATGTATCAATATGCTTCATTAAATGTAAAGTTTGGTTTTAAAGATTTTTTTATTTTTGACTATTTTGTTCTGAAGTTTGCATGTTTGTTTGTTGAATGTTTATTTTTAAACTTGATTGCTTTTACCTAAATTCGAAGAACTTTTTTAAATTTAGTTACTTACACCGGCCAAAATTGAGACATAACTGTATACAGAAGTCAACAGATGTGCTTATAAGCAATCCTTTTTAGTAGTTACGGGGAGTACCAACGATCTCAGGGAACAATTGGACTACATTTTGCAATTTGGAACTATAAATTCTGGCTTATCTGAAAAAAAAAAACACTTATGTGCATAGGAAAACTAATGACACGTACGTTGTTTTTAAACCGGGCCAGAAGTTATAGTTCTAAATTTCAAAATGCAGTCCAATTTAGGGTGGAAAAGTGATAGGTTGAATAGGGCAGAGGAAAGAAACAGAAAAAAAGGATGCCTCTTACCGAATTATTCATCTGCGACGTCATTTGAAGTCTCAAGGCTAAACTGCGCAGGGTTTTTACATGAATGAAAAGTTTTCCTTGTTTCCTGTAATTGATTACTACTTTACGAAACTACAAACAATTCTCTAAAAAATACTTCAGTATTTAGCGAAAAAATTGGATTTCTCATCCTTTCCTCTTCAAACAATGCATCATTCATTCTAAGAATAGGTGCATTAAAAATTTTTCAACAATGAGACTGCTTTCGAGGAAAGCAGAATTCAACCTCACTAGGAACTAAGCACTCTAATGTCATTGAGTAGTGCTACTCAAGAGACTTCACCGAACTCATGGAAATCTTGTCTGTCAGACAAGTGGACATCGCACAAAATACCGATTCAGGAATTTCAAATACATTCGATCGATGGGATCTTAATCACCCCCCCCCCCCCCCCCACCCGGATCAGTTTACATGTTGAGGAAGAGGGAGGGGGTAGTTCCTAGAAGCCTATTTTGAAGCTTAGAGATTTTTTTGCATAAAAGTACTACCAAATCCAGTTTTTTTGAGAAGTAGAGTCTAACCCATACTCATCGTTTTCGTCTTAAAGCAGCCCTTGTAGCTGCTGTGTCTTAAAATCGTTAGTAAATATTTATTTCATTGACGCGTAAAAAAAAAACACTATCTTCGATACAAAAAATGTATCCCTTTCGCATAGAAGGTTTTAACCTCTAATTATAAAATATCTTTTTCAGTGGAAGGCGAAGGAGATCTGTAGGAGGCAAAAGACGTGATGTATCCGAAAGAAAACGCTCATATACCAGTGTAGAGACGAACTCGCATAAGTAATGAGGAGCACTTAAATTTTGTTGATTGACCAATGAAACTTATTCCTGACATTGCATCACGGTAAGACATTGAAATTTTAACCAACTAGTATTCTTAAAATTATTCATTTCTTACTCTTATTGATAATATATTGGAACTTTTTGGCCTCGCTTTCCCCGCAAAATAGTGTGGACCCAGCACTATTTTACCACCTTGTCACATACCACTCGGGCCACATTTTTTAGTGTTTTTTCTTGTAATATTATGAATCAATTCAAATTATATCCGTAAACAAGATATGATGCATTGTGAAACTACCCCTGCGACTTTTCCGAGTTAACTTTCCAGAGAAATAGTCATTTTAGTTAGATTTTTTTTATTTTTTTTATATTAATAAAAAACTGTAGCAATTTCCAAGAATTTTGAATTGAAGTGCGTGATCATGTGTGAAACTTTAGTAGAAACCCGAAAGTCCAGGATAGAATACCGAAAACGCCCCCACCTAGCTAAAAAAAAGCTCCTAAAGTTGAAGCTATAGCGGCAATAAACTCATTGGCTAAGGGAGGAGGGCGAATTTCCTGGTTGCATTCGTGATACCTCATGGGGGTTACCCTTGCCTTGCAACGGTCCTTCGGACTTCGGAGGTATAGCTTACCCGAAACTATGAAATTTATCAACAGTTACACAATTTTATCTTTTGCCCACTCCTTGTCTGTTACAGCCCAATTTTTTTTCTCTACAGCCCTGTCACACGCAGAATCTCGCTTATTCAACTTGGGTTCAAGTTATGAGCCTTCAAGTCCTTAGCCCAGGTCGTCTGGTCACTCAGTTGCTGATTTTCTGTACGAAAAATCATCACGTTTGGACAATGATACCTGAACCGAAGCCCTGCCAATCCTGTCATCTCAAACCATACCTAATGTCGATGCCGATCATCACTGTCACGGATTCATCACTGTCACGGATTCATCGCTGCCACGGATTCACCACTGTAACGGATTTTTATTCCTACCGGCCTTTTCCGGGCGGTTTGATTCTTATTCGGAGCTTACGGCGGCAGTGATTAAGAATTATATCAAAACACTTTACTGCCCATGAGCCACTTTGTAAAATAAGTAGATGGTATGGTTACGTCGCAAGTAAATAGGCAGATAATTTATTGAATGCATGAGTACATACCTTTTAAGTAGGATGTAATCTTCCAAAAAAAAAAAAAAAAAAATTATACTACTACTATTTTTTAAAGAAAAAGGTTTTATACTGCACATAGAAATATACCTAGTAAAAATTGCATAGAGTATATTTTTACATTATTTATTGTTTCATTACCTTAGTTAACATTCTAATCTTATTAATTACAGAATGTATCATTGCATCCTGTATAATAGTCATTAACATGCATTCATGGAAATATTTTTATTGAATCATGAATTGTCAGAGGAGAGGATTCGCCTATTTTTTTCCATGTGTGCTTTATCGGAAGTCCTACGTCCATACAGTCCTACAGTCCTACAGTTCATAGTCTGAAGTTAATGTTACGTGAATACCGTATGTGTGACGGAAGTTTTAACATTTTTTTCTCTAAATCTTATTTGTACAACTTTGTTCCGTATGAGAGATTCCGTCCAATTAGAAGAGACCAAAATGTTTTAGTGTTTTTATTTTATTAATTCAAACTGGATTAATTTTAGTTTTGAGTTTGGTTAGTACTTTATTTTTTCATATATTTCTCAATTCTAAGTGACTGCTAAGTGAATGAAGTAAATACTTACGAACTTCTATAATTCAATCAAGTGCCAATACGAGTTCTGTCATTCAGAGAATTTGTATTTTTCATCACGTCTAAAATTGATGAAATACCTGACAGGATAATTTACTTGCCATAGGATACTACTAAAAGTCACGTCGAGTCTAGTCATAATTTATAGTAGCTGTAGATAAAACTTAGAGAACTATTAGTATCCGTTCATTGAAGTTAACCGCATTTCTGATGAGTCATTTATATTCGTATTGCAGTTACTCCATTGATCATTTTAATTATCGTCATTAAACTATCTACCTCTGACATTGTATTAGCGTATTATACCTCATTTTAATTAATCATTTTTTATTACAGTAAGGCCCCAAGTTGCTGTTGTTTCTGTAAAACTTAAGATAATCGATAATGTGCACTATAAAACGATGGTTCACTTTACGAGGGTTTTTTACCGTCTCTAGTTGCACTAACCATATTACTTAAGAGAAAAAAAAATAGGAAGAAAATAAAGAAAAACGTTAATTTTATAGCGGAATAACTCATAAAAACACTGTCAAAATATGCAAATTAGAGCTCTACCTATCTGAATTTTTTTTTTACAAAAAAAACAACATTGCGCTTTGATGAGTCTTTAATCATTGTATTTCAGTTAATGAAAACGGAATTTTTAAGTAGATTTTTAGTTTTAAATGTTGCATATCGTATACTTTGATTTTAATTTTGAGGTTTTTGACAATTTTAATTCTACTTTTTCCCATAACGTTTTTTCAACATCAATTTTACCCAATAACGGACAAAGGAAGGTTTCCTACTTCCTACATTTTATCAGGTTTTTTTTTTTTTTTTTTTTTTTTTTTTTTTTTTTTTTTTTAAATTTGATAGCAAGTCCAAAATTAAACAGTCAACGCTAATGGGGATTGTGTACATTATTATGTCAATACCTCATCTCTCCTTGATATTAACTCATACCACTTTAGATTTTTATATTAGTTCATAATATTTCCAAGGCTTCCCATCCATAATCCAGCGTTAAAAACGGCTCCGAGAACGTAACATGTAGGTTTAATCCAATCTTGCAGATAACGCAGTATTGCCATAAAATTAGGCGAGGTGCTGGAGTGGCGGTTGTAAAGAGATAAGCGTGCTTAATTAGCGCCGGAATTCCAGGGACCGGAAAGTTCTACGCCACTTTGCACGCAGTATTGGTCCCCTTAATGACTCAATGAAGTTTACCGCTTACAGGTGCTGATTGGACCGAAAACTTTGCAACGATGTTTAAAAAAACTCGGACCTTGAAATTTTTCCACGACTTTCCGAGTTAGCGCCAAGTCCCTTCGTTTCACAACTACTTTCCGTACTGAAAAATGCCCTGCTTCAAAAAATGCATAACTCAGCAAAAATGTCATTGGATATTGCAGCCTTTCAAAGAAATGAAATCCGCTCCATCAAAACCCTCCAACTAACTTTCTGCAGCAAAAACCTCAATGAAGAGAACGAAAGACATGTTAGCTGTTCAATTGGCGTGGAGGCATTTTGCTGAAAGTGTGTCCCTTTCCAACAAACACTTATTATGTTAAAAGCTTTTAAAGTTTTTTAGTTATATTTATTGTTTTTATATTTATATTTGATATGCCTTGAATAAACTTCCTCATTATACATAGTATGTCGTATTGCTTTTTCATTTTTTTAAAAAGTGTTTTTTACTTTTTCTCTGTGCAGCGTCAAAGAGATGGCGTAAGGGTTAATTGGACCGAGTTCAACAGGAAAGAACCAAGCCACATCAGCTATTCCCAAATTTAACTGGGCAATTAAATTTTTTTACGAGAGAACGTTTGTGCGGATTCCTTTGAAATATTTGAAAAAATTGCTTAAAAGTATGGAGATTTTTCACTGAAATTTGCACGAAAATCCGCGCAATCGTTTTCATGTTAAAAATTAATTTTTCCAGAGAGAAAAAAAAAATCCAATAACAAAGGAAGACTCCTTAAAGTAGGTTAAAGAAAACTTTACTTGTCGTGCTCTATATCCAATGTTTTTGCGATTTCGAGGGCCGGCATTGTTGTAATGCATTTCTTGGAAAATTTATGATGTCGCAATTACAATAAGTAATGGTTTATTTCATCGGCACAATATGTGACGCTTTGGTCAAATTAAGATGTAGAAGGAAAAATATAAGCTTCACGTAATGTCGCATGCATGCTATAGATACTAGACGAATTTCATTATAACGCCTGGATGCAACTTTCTTTCAAGAAGCAACCCATACAATTTATAAAGTGAATAAATTAACATAAACATTTTCGGTTTCAGTCAAAACTTTCTTGTCCAACCTCTCTGAAAAGCTTGCCTCATTGTAGGACGGGCTTAGCTGCATTTAAAAATGACAGATTGTCTTCAATTCTTCATTTATACTTCGAAGACATGTATGTTAAACATGAAAAGTTGCTGAACTAATCATGCTCAGCACATCGCGATATCAAGACTGAAGCACAAAGGATATTCACATCCTACGCCTTTATGCAAATGTTCGTTCCTAGGTGATATTTTTGTAGTATAAACAAAGAATGGAGAGCGTTCTGCTATTTTGGATTCTCGGAATAAAGTCCGCCGTTGCGTTGGCGCTGCACGCTGCACCGAAACCGCGGCCCGCGGTTTATGTGGTGAGTGCCTGGACCGTCAAAACGCCTTTACATCCATGCGTATGCAACACGGACATCAAAGAGGCCCGAATAGTTGCATTCAGGAGTTAAATGAAATTTATATGATGCTTGAAATCCAACTTAAAGCCAGTAATAGTGCTTTAGGTACAGGTTGCTTGAAAGAACCGTTTTTTATTTGGTCATGCTAAACTTGAAGCCAGGCTCTCGGTCCGGCCTGAGGAGCCTCCGAATCCGGGTCTCCTGTCTCCAGTGTTTGGTGGTCTCGGCTAAGAAGGCGATGGCGGCGAGGGCGTGGCCGACGAACCAGAGGAGGAAAGCGCTCTGGAGGTAGAAGAAAGAGAGCTTGACTTGGACGGCCTGCCTGTCTCGGTACTCGTGGGCCTGCTCGAACGGGAACAGGGTGTATTGGCTCTCGAAGACGCGGTTGAGCCAGTGGGTCGTGATGCCGGCCTCGACCAGTCGCCGGATGATCGGGTTCAGGAACCGCCCCAGCCCTGAACCCCGCGGCAAGGCGAACGTCATGAAGTACTGCTCGATGCACACCTGGACATCGGAAAAAGGACATTTTTCAAGATGACCTTTGAAAAATGAAGGAGCACGCAGGGGCGCGGGCGCCTTTGGGGAGGGAGGGGGAGGGTAGACTGGGCTTTGGCCCGGCCCGACATTTTGGGGTTGGGCCGAGGGAAATATTCGGTTCTGCAAGAGGTAGGTAAATTAAAAAAAAAATTAAATAAATAAAAATAAAAAAAACTGTTACTTTTTGCCCGACCCTGCAAAAACCTGAAATGGCGCCACTGGGAGCACGAAAAGAAAAGGACCGTTGCCTTTTATTGTGAGAGCAGCAATTTGTGCAACTATGGGTTACTATAAACAAGGTGTGAATTCGAGCATCTTGATACTTATTACCCGCAACTAAAATTTCAGGTAGAGCGAAAATCGCGCAACGATAATCACTGAAACCGACGTTTAATGAAAATAAAAACGTTTTTAGGTAACATTGATTACGGTAATTTTGAAGTCTTCACTTTTGCAATAAAATACAATAAAAAAACTATTTTTCCCCAACAAAACTGCAATATTTTTACATCATTTGGTCAATAATTGCCGATTTTAAATGACCAACAAAATGAGATCTATGAGTGAGGGAGGTAGGGAAATTTGCAATGCAAGAAAAATCGCAACTTAAATTTTAATGCAATGAATGTCAATAAGAGTAGCCCCTTCAAATAGTGAATGGACAACACGCACAACATACTCCGATACTACAAAGGCTGCCCCGAAAAACCTGAGACCGTAGTGCTGTAACTTACGAAGTGAGACAACTAGAGAGCTGATTTCAGTTGTTTTTGAAAGAACAACTCATTTGCTTCAGACAGGCGCCTAGTTTTTAAGCAAATGCCCGAAAATTCCCAAAGTTATGAAGATTAGGAAAAAAAGAAGAAAAAAACAGTTTGCTTACTCCCTTTTCTTTTCAGCATAGAAATTCCCTCCCAGAGAATGCTCTTCAAACACTATTTCCTCACACTTTACGGACTGAATAAACTTAACGAAATTAAAGTCGACTCTTCAAAACTGTTTATGGCATCGATCGCAGGCATCACCGCATAACAACAAGACTTAAGTCGGCTTACGATATGTTGAGCCTTACGCACGGAGTTGTGCAAGTTGAATCTTCACCAGGAGTGCGTGCTTGCGGTTTTTGCGAGATCTGTGATTTCCACCCAAATTTTATATTTTGATTTGGTAGGTATAATATGTATCAAAAGACGTTGTTCTCTTTCAAGTAGGTATACCTAAGTATTTGCCAAGTCTCTCGCCCTTTCTTTCCGTTGTGTCATTTCAATTTACTTTATCTGTTCAATTTTGAATAGTCCATACATTTTGTTAAATAAGAGAGAAATAAAAGAATAAAATAAAAAATAAAACCTTGGAAGCACGCATATCTTTTAGGAGTGCCAAAGGGAGCTGCTCCACTTCCATGAAGTATTTGTCGCCGACTCGCTTAGTAAAGAACGCCGTCTGGCGGCCGTCTTCAGGCTCCCATTCTGTCGTATTGATCAGCCGCAATTTCAATTTGTATCTTTGAGTCATGTAGCCAAGCCAAGAACTCTGCAGATACATTAAAGTAATTAGCATTGAAAAATGTGATATCAATAGAGGAAAAGAAACTTCGTTTAAAACAAGCTAACCTCGGTTCATATGCATGGCTAACCGAACTTCTTGGTTCAGGCAACTGAACTTACGTTGATTATGCTGAGTTTTCAGGTAACCAAACATCATCCTAAAACGAACCGAATACTTTCATTTATGTCATACTTTATATCATAAGAGTAACGCGTAACGCGCATATTTTCTGAGGCGCGAAGCGCCTCGCATTGGCGGATCCAGCAAATTGGCAACATTGTCTTTTATCCATTTAAAGCTATGAAATGTATCGATTCTTGGAGGGGTCAGGTGCTCCGACAAGGATCGATTATTTAGCGTAGGTTTAAATGGAGGAAATCCAGTGTTGCCAAATTGCTAGATCCGCCTCTGACGCCTCGTCAGGTGGATCCACAGAGTGATCGGGAGGGTGCAGCCCTTTAGTTTCGTCTTAATTTAATAAATTTGCACTTAGTTCGTTTCAGTAAAAGTGCGTGTATTTTGACGGTAAAACTTCCAATCCCTATATTTCGTTTGTTGTGTTTCAAAATCTCCGTTTCCACTTTATATTATCAAAGGAGAACAAGTCAACATCATCCCTGGAGGTTTCACCAGAATTTGCCTCGCCCGATATGAAAAATCACAAAAGTTTTTAAGAATTGACGTTGAGTAGGTAATTCTCCATTTCAAAAATGAAGTATGAAGGGAGGTCTGCAACGTTCCAAACCGAGGCACTTAGTTTGAATGTTTCACTGTCGATAGGCCCCTACCTTTAGGTTCCATCTAAATGTCAAATAGAGTTAACTGACACCCGAAAGGAAGGTTATATAAAAAAGCTCATGACGACGCACCAGGTAGTAAGCAGAGAACAAGTAATTCTTCTCGGACAGTCCTTCGGGAGTGTGGATCATGGGTTCGAACTCCGGGAGTGTGAGCCGCGCGGCCAAGCTGCCCGAGTAAGCCGACACGATGTTCAACGTGAAGATACCCCAGAGTGTCAACAGGAATCTATTGAACTTGCGGTTTCCTTTTCCTTCCGGGTTGTATCCGTCGTTCATGAGGAGCATGCTGTAGATCTGCAGGAAACTCCGCTCGAAAGAGATCACTGCACGGGAAGCAAAGAGTAACGGGGTGATGATGTGATCGGAATGCAGGGCCGGATTTACCTACTTGCCGCCCATGGGCCGCTAATATTTTGCCGCCCCCTTCTCATTCGGTTTTGAAACATCAATGAAAACCATCAAATGAACGTGCCAGCGGGGGAGGGGTGCATAAGACGCGTTTACTCGTGTTGAACACATTTTTTGGGAAAGCCCTGTCAACACTTCTGGCAAAAGTTCAAGGAACTTTGCGCGAAAGTTAAGTTTCGTAAACCTATCTCTGTGCGGACAAGGCCTTCCATTCGTAAGAAATGAACGAAAACATTATGAAAGAACAAACATAAATGTGGATTAATGATTTTAACTTCCGCAGCCGCGCCTCGCAGACCGCACTGTTTGACGCAATGCGTGAAGTATTCACGCAGTCTTGTAGGCGCTATCCGTTTCACGCTGTCCGCAATGACCGCGCTGTGTTTGATGTAATGCGTGAAGTATTCGTGCAGTCTTGTAGGCGCTAATATGTGTTACATGCCGATCGCCGCGCCGCGCCGAGAGCTTCTCCTTTTCATCTCAAGTCCTCGTCATCATTTCTCTCTACGTAAGTCGCGCCGTTCCAGGCCAAATTGCGTGTTTGGTTTCTCTCGTAAATCGACTAATTAAATGTGCTGTCTCTTGTATCACTGAAAGACGACAAAAGTAGAAATTACTATACTCTCAGAAAATTAAAGATTTTGCCGTCTTTTCTCGTTTGTAATTTTTTTTTCTAAATCCGAATTTTTTTTATACCTACTTTTAAAAAAATTGCAAAATTTGCCGCCCCCTATAGATTTGCCGCCACGAGCCGCGGCCCATGTGGCCACCCCCTTAATCCGGCCCTGTCGGAATGCACGTTTTTTTATTGATTGGGGGTCGTCCATAAAATGACGTCAGGTGCTTATGCGAGAGGGAGTGTGGGACTGCCTGACAAAGGGGGGTGGTCGCCATCCTTTTCAGAGAAGCACAGAAGGAGGAGGAAGCGAAAGGAGAATAACAAGAGGAGAAAGAAGAGAAACTACGTTTGTGACGTCGCAAACTTCGTGTCATACTTAATTTTTTAATTAAATAACTAGCCAATGTGATTTTTTGAAAATTCCCCTGATTTTTCTTCTGTGTCAACAAGACATTTTGTAAAAATGTCAAGCTATATAATTGACTCATTTCTCTATGAAAAAATTAAATAGGAGTGCAAATTTTGAAACACCACATTGGAGATGTACGTGGTTTCGTACTATTTCGATATCCTTTTCTTCGTCTTTTTCTTCAATTTTTTCTCTTCTCGTTTTCTTCTTCCGCCTTTCCTTTTTCTCCCTCTTATTTTCCTTTTCCTCTTTCATCTTCTTCGTCCCCGTCTTCGTCTTCCAATTCGAATAAAAAGCTCGGGTCCTGAAGATCCAGAGTCGAGAGACCCTCCATCGGCCTCTTGGTAACAGGAGGAAACTTTTACTTTCGGGGACTTGCAACACTTCCTTATAGACAATTATAAAGGAGCATCAGTAATAACCCTTTTATCTGCCGTTGACCTACCTACTAGGTGGATGATGAACTTCAGGTGCGACGTGATAAGTCAAACAAGTTTGTCAAACTTCGGTATGTTCTCGTATGTTTGCAAAACGAAGTAGGTACCCAACTCTTTTCGTCCAACATCCACCTAGTAGATAAGTCAACAATTGAATGTTGGGGTCCTGAAAGTAAAAGCTTCCCCTATTGCCACGATAGCAATAGAGGGTAACTTGTCTCTATGGAGACCTTGGTGAGTAAAACTAGGTTTAAGCTACTGTAGGAATGAATCCTCTTGTTTGGACTGGAGTACCTGTATACGGAAGAGTATTGCCATCTCTGTGCCGCTCTCTGATTGGCTCATCAGTTTTAGGCTATCATGGAACTCCAAATTTGGACCAATGTAAACAAACCCGACCCAGAGGAACACGTTTTATTGGCGGAGAAATGAATGATGATCACACTCAAAGCTTAATTTTCGGCAAAAATATTCTTCAAAGTTCTACCCGAACTCAATTCAGAAGTTGGATATGAAAAAATTTCTATCACACCCAAAGTCATGTCTAGAACTTTGAAGAACTTTTCCGCCTCTTGTTTGTTTACATTGGGCCAAACCAGGAGCAGAGGGGCTAGGGTTTGTGTACATTAGTCCAACTTTGGGGCTCCTTGATAGCCGACCAATTAGAAAGCGGCAAACTTTTTCTGTAGTAAAAGGATTGAGATGGCAATACTCTCCCGTATACAGGTACTCTAGTTTGGACCTGGTTGGATACTGCGGGTGCGGAAGTCGAAGTTCATCCAGTAGACGGCGGCGATGAAGCAGGTGGTGAGGATGAGGGCGAGCCAGAGGTCGATGCTGAAGGGTCGGAGGAAGGCGCTCCACTGGATGCTGTACGGCTCCGGCTTGGGGAGGAGGAAGGTCATGCAGCAGGAGTGCCAGTAGGTGCTCAGGTCGATGTACTTCTTCTTGGCCACCTCGAGCCACCACGAGCAGATGGCCAGCTCGATCTTCCGCTCGATGAGCATCTGGACCATCCCGCGCGGCGGCTCGTCCTTCCACCGCGGCATCCCCCACTTGTCCCGTCCACGCGGCACCGTCATCGTCCACCGGAAGTTCAGGATCCGCGCGAACTCCAGGAATATCCGGTACTCGATCCCGTCGATGTCCCGAACTGAATCTGAGACAACCGGCAAAACCGCAAAATTAGGCCAGAGATAAAAGGCGAACTTTCGCAAGTGGACTCGATCGACTTTTTCAACCACACTGAGAAAAACACTTCGGTCATATGAACCAAATGTACGGTGTTCAATATCCGCTGTATTTTTCGGTTCATGTAACCGCTTTCTCGATTTTGGGAACCGTATCCTCGGTTCATGCAACCGGGGCATTCAAACCGAACAGAACCAACGTGAAAGCTCGGTTCCATGAACCGAGGATGCGGTTCCCAGAACCGAGAGAGCGGTCGCATGAACCGAACGCAATACGACCGATATTGAACACCGTACACTCGGTTCTTATGGCCGAATTTCTCTTCTCAGTGCAGATAGGCAGGGTTGCAAACCAATGAATAAGAACTTTCTGCTAAGAGATAGATACAGTTGCTTAATGGATATTGAAAACTTGACGTTTGTACTAGTCTTATTTTTCCCCAATTTATATGCCTTAATCATCAAAACACGATTCTGAGACTAGCGCCACTGGCTCATGTTGAGCTAACATGGGTTCGACGCTCTCCATACGATGGAACTAACTTCACCCCAAGGTTGCGAAATGTATTAAAATTATTCAAATTTTTTTATGAACTCGGTAAGACTTTAAAAATGGCTTGACTCAAAATAAAAGAGCCGTCAAAATTTTACGTTGTATACTTACTAGGTTGACCGTCGTCATCGTGGCGTTTGAAAACAACAAAAAGAGGACAGCTGAAAGCACTCACGTTCATTTCTCTCTGATTGAAATTCAAAAATTTATTCCTGCGTAGCTGCAACAATCACATTTACATTAATCATCAAGTCAGTGGCTTTCATATCATGTGGATGTAGAGTTTCAACGAAGACTAATTATTGTTTTCGTATTTATTCTTCCTTGCGGTTTTTTCTATTTGCCCTAGTTAAAATATGCGAGAAACTCGTTGTTGCAAATTGAGTGTCTAATAAAGCTTTGTCGGTTGTCATGATTATCTCGAAGATCTCAACACTTCTCATTGATATCTAAAGAAAGGTTTTTAAATCAAAAGCAGATCATTTTTAAAATCTAATACTGCCAGCCGATTACAAATCCTCCATTCATGCCGAATGACCTTAGTGACTAATAACAATTATTGCAAAATAAGGCCTTGTTACTCTCGGTCATCCGACAAAGACGCAATATATAAAGATAAAATAATCAACTGGCAGGTTGCAACTATTCGTGCTCGACGACTGCCTATGTTGCATACGCAAATAATTGAAAGCGCTTCGTGGGCCGAATATCGAGTCTCACTCGACACCTCGTCGACTGACCTTGATCGACAAAACACATGGCAAAAAAGGGATCTGAGTATCGTAATTATTGATAGGTCGATAAAGTTGCAAATAATGAACCGTCAGAATGTAATTATTCATGCTAAGCGAATGTTTGTTACAGATATGACTGATTCAATGCTCACTGCGGGTTGCATTATTGGAACTAGATACCAACAGGGCCGGCTTTACCTACTTGCCGCCCCCTTCTCATTTGTTTCGAAACATCAATAAAAACCATCAAGTGGACGTGCTGGAGGAGGAGGGAAGGGGTGCATTAGACGCGTTTACTCGTGTTGCACACATTTTATGCGAAAGCCCCGTAAACACTTTTAGCAAAGGTTCACGGAACTTTGAGCGAATGTTAAGTTCCGTAAACCTATCTCTGTGTGAACAAGGCCTTCCATTTATAAGAAATCAATGTAAAAATTATGCAAGAACAAACATAAATGTGGTTTAATAATTTTTACTTCCGCCGCCGCCGCGCCAGCTTCACGTTGACCGCACTGTGTTTGGCGCAATGCGTGAAGTATTCATCCAGTCTTGTAGGCGCTATGCATTTCACGCCGACCGCCGCTGAACGCATACTAAGTTTGCGGCGCAAATGAAGTAGTTTTTAAAAAAAGCTGTTTAAAATTCTAACTTGTTATGTACAAATTGCCAGGGCCGGATTCACCTACTTGCCGCCCATGCGCCGCCTATATTTTGCCGCCCCCTTCTCATTCGTTTTGAAACTCGATAAAAACCATCAAATGAACGTGGCAGCGGGGGAGGGGTGCGCATAAGACGCATTCACTCGTGTTGAGCACATTTTTGGGAGAGCCCTGTCAACACTACTAGCAAAAGTTCACGAAACTTTGCGCGAAAGTTGAGTTCCGTAAACCTATCTCTGTGTGGACAAGACATTCCATACATAAGAAATGAACGAAACAATTATGAAAGAACAAACATAAATGTGGTTCAATAATTTTAACTTCCACCGCCGCGCCGCGCAGACCGCACCGAGTTGGACGCAATGCGTGAAGTATTCACACAGTCTTGTAAGTGCTATGCGTTTCACGCTGACCGCACTGTGTTTAGTGCAATGCGGGAAGTATTCGTGCATTCTTGTAGGCGCTATGCGTTTCACGCTGACCGCTACTGACCGCACTATATTCGACGTAATGCGTGAAGTATTCATGAGGTCTTACAGCTGCTAATATGTGGTACATGCCAACCGCCGCGCCGTCGCCGGCCGCCGGCCGCGCTGGGGGCTTCTCCTTTTCATGTCAAGTCCACATCATCATTGCTCTCTACGCCGCGTCGCTCCATGCTGAAAGTTACCCTCGAGGGTGCTGCATGACTTCCTCATGAGCGACAGAACTTGACTGTGTCTAATCGTTATCATAGGTACGAGAAAGAATCAAGCTCCTACACCAATAATGACGTTACATTGACCATTTTTGACCGATTCATATTATATCGATGCCTAAGTGGGAAACCACGTATCTCCAATTCCTATCATACTTGTTTTTTTCTTTGGATAACTACCCAACGTAATCTCTTGAAGACTCTTTCAAGTTTTCTTCTCTGCCAGCAAAATATTCTGCGTAAATTTCAAGCTACTAAGTTTGCTTGTTTCTTTTCAAACAATTAAAGTAGGAGCGCATATTTTCTGACACCGCAATAAAGATACGTTGGTTTGCACTTCATTCTTCGATGAGACTTTGAATGTGCAAAGTGAAAAAGTTGCATCAAGTTATGCACCTGCGTGATTAAGGTCATTTTTGTGCATAAAGCCTTGTCTCCACGGGACATTTCATGGGATCTGTCCCAGGGAAAAATCTCATTTTCAAAGTTGGGAAAAGTATTGAGTTAGTCTATACTAATCACAGTACCAACTTGTGTCCTTGTGGAGTCCCAGGAACGAATTAAAAAGAAGAAGACATTTTGTTGTGTTGTTTAATGAGAAGAAAACCCATAAGTTTCATTCATGCGACTCGAACTTGGGAAAAATCCCGTGAAACGTAACGTGGAGACAAGACCTAATTTTTTGGAATGGACAAACCCGTGTTACGGTGAAGGACTCACATCAGATGATAATATGGGGAGGGTCGTGGGCTGGAAAGTCCACTGGTGAATTAAATATTGGCGCACAATGAACCTGCGCGGTCCGAATTCGATCCAGAGAATATCGTAGCTCCTCCACAGATCCAACTGCTCCTATCGAAACAAATACTTATTAGCAGCAATCCTTAGAGAATATCCCCCCTCTCGTCCTTCCCTCTATCTCTGAGTAACAATTCATAGGTTGGTCACATTCATGCTCAAAACCCTTTAAAATTTGACCCTTGTGCGGATGAACAGAGTCAGAGACTGTCGCGTTTAGAAGTTCTGTGGTGAGTGGTGGCACTTTTAGACTGACAAACGAATTGCGTTTGATGGTTTTTCGCAATTAACAACATTCCCTTAAATGTTTATGTTTCATATGAAAGTGTATGATGAGTTAAGATCACAGCATTTCTCATAATTTCTATCTAAAGTTATAAAGTGGAAAACAAATTTTTGAATGCAAGCAAATCCGCTTTTTGACGTCATGGAGCAGCATCTCCCATTTAAATACATCGTGACCTCTTCCGGCCATACAAGCGCCATGCGACATTTCAAAATTTCCGCCGCCATTTTATTTTTTTATACGGACAATTTTTTGGTTGAATCCGTTTGAAAATTTCATTGAATTTTATCGGCAGCACACAACAAATCATTGAAATTTTAGGACAGCTTCGTTGAACAATTTCTCAGTAAAAAATAAACAGCAGGCGGCGGAGATTTTTAAACGTCGCATGGCGCTTGCGATACTTTGGCCGGATACTGACGACATGTATTTTAGCAGATCAAATCATCCTGTCATGATTTCTCTGAGAAATGTTCATTTCAGAAACCAAAAACATCCTCGTACCCTTAAGTATCACCTGGCGTAAATATTATAATTCATCAAATTCATCAAATTTCAGACCCTTTAAATTATTTATTCCACTGAGTTTGATGAGGGCTGAGAATGGAGAGGAGTCTAACGTGCTCCGGATGAAAAAAAAAAATTCTTAGTGCAAATGAGTATCGAATCCCATGTAGGGGATTTCCATTAATTATTCCACCCGTCGCACAGTGGATCGAGTCAATCAGAGAGGCCGCACATTACATGTTTGACTAAAACTGCAAATTTTGACGTTTAGTTCGTCACAATTTAAGTTTTAAGGGGTGCTCCGAAAAGAAAATTTTACGAGGAAACCGATGGCGCCACTTTTAGAACATCAAAATTTTGTATAAACGAAGTCATAAGCTTTTAAAGTTTCCAAATTTTGTCCGACCTCTCCTATTGACTCGATCCGCTGTGCGTCGATGGCCTCGTTACCAGTGTAAAGGCTCGAGTGTCCTTGGGTTCGCCGTCGGCGACCATGAGTGCCAAGACCCGGAAGGACCAGTTGGCCGCTACGGCTCTCTGCATGAAGACGGCCAAGGCGGAGGTGGTCTCGGCGAGGATGACGAGTCCCTCGCAGTAGCGCTGCATGAGGAGGGTGTCCAGGGCGTTCTTGGCCATGACGGGGCGCCCGAGGCCCTGCGCGACTTTGGCCACGAGGTGGTCGGCCACCCCGGGCTCGTGGGCGAAGAGGACGCAGTTTGCAGGGCGCGGGAAGAGCACGTCCGCGTAGCCCTTGATGCGTCGCATCGAGGATCTCGGAATCCGGGAGGGCGCCAGGGGTGTCTTCAGGCTCGCTCCCAGCGCCCCCGAGAGAAGCGATAGCCACAGCGCCAGAGACAGTCGGCTCCATGTTCGCTTCGATTGCATACTCATTGAAACTGAAAATTTCGGATGGATTAGATTACGAACAACTGAAAAACTGAAACACACATCGACGGTGTTATTTGGCGACCACGTATCTCGTTTGCGGTGTTTGAAAATCTCCTCCTCTATAATATTTTTATAACGGACACTGAAAAAAAAAAGTTCGGTAAATATGGAACCACGATTTTGTTCGGTACACACGACCGAATTATTCGGTCTGCTCAGCCGAACTGTTCGGTCCACTGAACCGAACTGTAAGAGTTTATTATGGTTCGGTCGCACAAACCGAACAATTCGGTTGACCAGACCGAATAATTCGGTTGTGTGTACCGAACAAGATCGTGGTTCCATATTTATCGAATTTTTTTTTCAGTGGAGAACAAATTGACATCATTCTTTAAAGTCTTTGCAGGACTTCCTGCGCATGGAGAAGATAAATCACCACAGTTTTGAAGAATTGTAGTTGAGTAGTTTTCCGTTTAAAAAATAAAGTATGACAGGTCTACGACGCACAGTGGGTCGAGTCGCTTAGAGAGGTTGGACATGACATTTTTTACTTAAACTGCAAGTTTTAATGTTTATTTCGTCCAATTTTGAATTTCAAGGTGTGGTTTAAGAAGAAAATTTTACCAGGAAACCAATGGAATCACTTTATGAGTCTCAAAAATTTGTATAAACGGAGTTATAAGCGGTTAAAGTTTGCAAATTTTGTCCGACCTTCCCCATTGACTCGATCCATTGTGCGACGTCGCAAACCGAAGCACATACGTGGTTGCAGACTTCCACCGCGTCGATATATTCAAAAGGACCATGCACATTCCTCATGGGGATGTCTACCACGATCGCTTTCCCAATTTTTTATTGCATTAAACTCTCCCCCCGAACTAGCAAAATCTCTCATTTCTTGGGAGGGGCCGAGTAGATTTCTGGGCCCCCGCCTCCCTACTTTCGCCCATGCCCATGTTCAAAAACTTAAAGGAAGTGTAATTCAAAGAGTATTTACGCTCATTTTTCATATTTGTCTAAAATCAAGCGATTGCTATCAAAGGTTGAAAATCCATCATTTACCTACCTTTCCAAATAGTTAGACTTAGGTAAATCTCCAAATTTGAGCCAGGATGCATGTTTCAAACCGAAGATGCGACTGTCGCTTCGGCATATTTTGAACGCTGAGCGACATGTGACTCCGGTGATTTTCCACCAATCACCTTAAACCAATTTTGCTGCAAGATGACCAAGGTTGTCAAATTCCCTTGTTTGGATTTGTGAGAAAAGTGAATAGCACCACCGAGTAACGTAGAACGAGCATTAAAAGTGTTTAGTCAGTGCCCCCTCAAAAAAAATCTCTCACTAAAGAATGAATTAGGAAAGCATGCATTAAGGGAGGGGGATCATACGAGGGGGGACCCAAAAAAACCCGGAATTTTGCTGTAACTCGGCAACAATGGAAAATATTCGGGTTCCATCGCTAGGAGGTGTAACTAGGAGCTATGAAGAGTAACTAGCCCAAATTTCAACATTGTATCACATTTTCTTTCCATTTTGGCGAGACTTGGCTTCAGGGGTGTTTGGCGAGTTCGTAGTTTTTCAAGATAGGTGATTTTCATAGGCTGTGTGCGGCTAAACTTTGTCAATTTTCGAAGTGAATGTTGCAGAGAACATGATTTACCTATGACATAAGTGAACAAATGTTTTTCTTCGTTTTAAAGTGTGATTAATTGTTCGAACGTAGGCTGAACGTCAGGCGGCCGTCACCGGCTAGAGCGCAAAATAGGGGATCAATTCGGCAACAACGCGTTTTATGCCATAATTTTTCACAGTAATGTTCTGAATATTTCTGTATTACATCCAAGTGATATCTGCTAGTAGACGAAACGATATTTAACCATGTTCATTCACAAAAACGCGATTTATTTCATGTTTTCAGCGGTTCTAGCCGATGACGATAGCGGATTAGAGCCGTACAGGGGTTTTGGGCGATACAGACCATTTTGAAACTGAAAAACCGTAATTACACTGAACTTTTTGATAAGACTTGTCCTTCAGAAGCAGCACTTTAAAAGGTTAACAGAGAAAACCGTATTTTTATCGAGCAAGAGAGAAAAATTTGAGCTCTAAGTGTTGTTACTGAAATTGACCCATCTTGAAAAACTACGAAGTCGCCAAACACCCCTGAAGGCAAGTCTCGCCAAAATGGAAAGGAAATGTGCTACGATGTTGAAATTTGGCCTAGTGACTCTTCATAGCTCCTAGTTACACCTCCTAGCGATGGAACCCGAATATTTTCCATTGTTGCCAAGTTACAGCGAAATTCCGGGTTTTTTTGGGTCCCCCCTCGTATACTTATGACAGTACCATCTAATCTACCATAAAAAGTTAAACCATAAAACAACAACACCCGGGGGAAACCCCGGGAGCTAACTGATGTACTAACACCTCCCAGGAAAATACCTACTTTAGCTATACGTTATAATGAAGCACGGAAAAGATTATTGGAAGTCACAAAAAATGGCCTTTTTGGGGAATTTTTTCCGGAGAAAAAGAGTCATGGTGTAAATTTAGTCACAATAACTGTCTCACCACTGAATACTCGCACAACAAAGCGTGTGGACTCGACGTATTCATCAAGAAATCGTATCCGTCAAAGGGGAGAGAGGGAATTACAAATACCATCCGCTCATCGACAAACAGTCAGATTTACTTAGGATAAAAGCCTCCCTACTCATATGACAAAAGAGCTCTTGAGCACCAATACTCTTGATTTGTGTTTCCGTGCAGAGCGAGCACCCAGCAACAGGTAAGACCTATCGCTAACCCATCACAGAATTAGAGGCATCGATTTGCTGTGTTCAAACTTACGCCATTATGCTTGTGCCATTACTCACGATCAATTGGACTGCATTTTGCAATTTGGAACTATAAATTCTGGCTCTTCCGGAAAAACACTTATGTGAAAAAGGGAAACTAATGGCACATACGTCGTTTTTAAACCGGGCTAGAATTTATAGTTCCAAATTGCAAAATGTAATCCAATTCAATATCTAGAAAGTACGAGGGGAATATTGAACCTCAAGAGTCTATTGAAGTTATTGGTTTTCTGCTATTTATAAATTAGTTTTAGAGTCTCTCTTATAATATTTTTAGTATATTCAGTGCATTAGGGTGCATCCGTCTGCTTACCTGACATGATGTGGGAAATTAAAGAGAATCATATTTTGAGCAAAAACCTTGAATTTTCTTGTAAAACAGAAATAAAAGACACTTCAAAGGGAGTTGATGACAGCGCAGCGAGATACAACCATTTGTCCGTGTTTCATAAGCTACATAAATTATTGAAGGCGCGATGGCGCGAGGCGTAAACTTGCAATGCTCCGTTCGATGCTACTAATGAGGTGTTTCTCAGATTTTGAGGAAAAGTTAAAAAAACGAGGCCTCTTTACATCTCATCTTTCTCTGGCCGGGTCGCTTACGTAGCCCTTGAAGCACCACCACAAAAAAACACCAAAGGAATCAACACAACATTGAATTAAAGCGAGAGAAAGGAAGCGCGTTCATAACGGCGCAGAGATACAACTTTTCGTGCTTGATGGATGTCCGTGTTGCGTCTGCAAAATTGAAGGCGCGATGGCGCGAGGCGTAAACTTGCACTGCTCCGCTTGATGCCACTAATGAGGTGTTTCTCAGATTTTGAGGAAAAGTAAAAAAAACGAGTCCTATTTACGTCTCATCTATCTCTGGCCGGGTCGCCTACATAGCCCTTGAAGCACCACCACAAAAAAACCCAAAGGAATCAACACAACATTGAATTAAAGCGAGAGAAATGAAGCACGTTCATAACGGCGCAGAGATACAACTATTCGTGCTTGATGGATGACCGTGTTGCGTCCGCAAAATTGAAGGCGCGATGGCGCGACGCGTAAACTTGCAATGCTTCGCTCGATGCTACTAATGAGGTGTTTCTCAAATTCGGAGGAAAAGTTAAAACAACGAGGCCTATTTACGTCTCATCTATCTCTGGCCGGGTCGCCTACGTGGCCCTTGAAGCACCACCACAAAAAAAACCAAAGGAATCAACACAACATTGAATTAAAGCGAGAGAGAGGAAGCGCGTTCATAACGGCGCAGAGATACAACCATCGTGCTTGATGGATGTCCGTGTTGCGTCTGCAAAATTGAAGGCGCGCGGCGCGAGGTGTGAACTCGCAAACGTTATCCACTCTACGTAAATGCTATGCTGCCAATAAGGTGTCGCTCAGAGTCGGGAGAAATGATAGAAACGAGGCCCAAATAACATCTCCCCCATCTTCGGCATATGTTCACGCTCGCTCTTTTTTTTAATTTCAATTTGAAGTGAGACTCATTTTTTGGATGTATTTGTAGACCTTTAACTGGACGTATTTATGTTAAAATTAACTATGTGTATAGGGCTTGCGTGCGACATAGTTCCTTTTGGCATAAATACGTCCAACTAAAGGGCGTACGTCCCGGTCTGATACAACCCGCGATGCATGTGTTTATTGCAAGCCTCGGGTCAGTTTGACCCACTTTTGGCGTCTAAGGGTAATAAAACTCTTGTATTGAAATGTATAGTTAAGAAATTACTGTTACAGTTAAGATTTGAGCAAAGAATACCAGATCAAGAAAGCAAGACCTTTTTATGGAGGAAAAAAAAGACAAGAATGATTCATGCGCCTAAGTTGGCAGTTCAGGTACGAGTACTTACTTACACTATAATATCGTATTTCAACGGGCAGAAATATCACAGCTAAATTAAATTAAAAATTAATCGAGCTACGATTCCTTCAAGAGATGCCAGAGGGATGAAAAGTTTGCAACCCTGCTCAATGAAAACCTATGGAGCGAGATTACCTGTTCTATTTTTTTAATAGATAAGTTTTCGAGTTCCCCCGTAGATTTGTTGCCGATGCGATAAAATTGAAGGCGAGCTTTAAGTGGAAGGTATTTATCAATAAGTTTTCGCACTGCCTGTTGGTTCCATTAAACTTTATAAGGTTAATGTCTGTTTTTAGAGTAGGTAACTGTACGAGATCCCTGGTAGACCTTTTGTCTATACGTCAAAATTGAAGGCGAATGTTAACCCTTTGAGCCCTAAGTTGCAATTTTTTCCCACCCGTTTGTACTGCACTGTATCGGTAATAACCTAAAGTTGTATTTCATATCCTTCCCAACCAAATGCATATACTGTATGACTTGATACGCTGATTAGAAAAAGAGCCAAGGGGACAACAAAATACTAAAAATATGGTCCAAACTGCAAGTAACAGGCTTTTCATCAAACGGGAAGAGGAGACTTAAACGCAATGTCAGTTTAGGAACTGAATCGCAAGGAACTAGGGTTCGTCTTCGATGTTTAGTGTAGGCAACATGGACTCCCACTTGGTCGAATGATAGTATAACCGTGAATGTCACGCATATTCGGAACACAGAAAAAATATCCTGTTAAACCTTGACAACTTCAAAACAAAAAAAATTGCACTCTATCCCATGAGATGTAATGGAAATGGATTCGATGTCGGTAGACTATGTATTTTACAGTCTTTTCGTTTGCGAATTAATTAATTGATGCGCTGAAAAAGTGGAATGTTTCACTGCAGGGCCGGATTAAGGGGGTGGCCACATGGGCCGCGGCCCATGGCGGCAAAATTAGGGGGCGGCAAATTTTGCAATTTTTTTAAATACAGGTAGGTACAAAAAAGTCGGATTCAGGATAAAATTACAAACAAGAAAAGGTGACAAAATCTCTCATTTCCTGGGAGTTCATTAATTTCGAATTTTGTCGTATTTTGATGGTACAAAAGACTGCGCACCCTTACTTAGTTGAGTTAAGAGAGGGACCAAACACGTAATTTGGCCTGGAGCGGCGCGGCGCATCAGAGAGAAATGATGACGAGGACTTGAGATGAAAAGGAGAAGCCCTCGACGCGGCGGTCGGCATGTAACAGCGCCTACGAGACTGCATGAATACTTCACGCATTGCGCCAAACACAGTACGATCAACAGTGGTCGGCGCGGCGTGAAACGCTCAGTGCCTACAAGACTTACATGAATACTTCACGCACTTCACGCATTGCACCAAATAGTGTGGTCAGCGCGGCGGAAGTTAAAATTATTAAACCACATTTATGTTTGTTCTTTCTTAATTTTTTAGTTCATTTTTTACTAATGAAAGGCCTTGTGCACACAGAGATAGGTTTACAGAACTGAACTTTCGCATGAAGATCCGTGAACTTTTGCTAGTAGTGTTGACAGGGCTTACGCAAAAAATGTGTCTAACACGAGTGAACGCGTCTTATGCACCCTTCTTTCTCCGGCACGTTCACTTGATGGTTTTTATTGATGTTTTAAAATGAATGAGAAGAGAGCGGCAAAATACAGGCGGCCCATGGGCGGCAAGTAGGTAAATCCGGCCATGTTTCAGTGTAACTGTTTTGTCCACTAAAAATAATGAACGCTAATAAAACTCTGGCAATCAGGGCTCTCGCATCAGAATTCACGATGTTCCGGGAGAAGTTCCGGGAATTCTCCGGAAATTCTCCGATTTTACAAAAAAGTTCCGAAAAGTTCCGGATTATTTAAAAATGGTAATTTACTCGTGAAATATGCATTAAAATGCAAATTTAAACGGGAAAACAAGTCACACTGACAATTGCCGACATGCAGAGAGCGTAAGCTATAAATTACAGTCACAGATTTAATTTAAAATTCAGAAAACAAGATTGGCAGAAAAGGCGGGAAGCTTGAATTTGGCAGAAAAGGCGGGAAGCTTGAATTTGGCAGATTAAGTCATCAAAATGAGATTAAGTAACATTAATTCGTCTCTAATCGAAGAAAAGGATTGCACACTAAATTCTGCCCTGTTACTATAATATTTAAGCAAAAAATAAAAATTAAAAATGCACCGAAAAAAAGTATCTTCGAGATAGATATCGAAGAATACTTTCATTAGCCTGCCTGCCTGCGTACAGTTCAAATCCACTGTTAGAATTTTGACCCCAGAATGGATCCCGTTTATGGTTGTTGTCACTTTTTTAAGTATCAGTTCTTCAATTCAAAAATTTAAATGCAGAGACAAATTTAGGCAGGCAAGTACTGGAGAATTATTTAGGTATTTTTCTAGTCACATCTTCACTTCTCGAGAAGGGGGAAAAGAGGTCTGCAAAAATGAAGTAAATGAAAATTCTCAGCGTAATTATATCAGCTATAAATAAATCAACTCAGTTTTTCTTTTCTTTCATTTGTCTAAAGAAAAAAATTAATATATTCCAAAAGAAGAGGAGGCAACATTGAATATAGAAATTTCAAATAACGTCTAAAAATTTGGCCTTAAAACTTTCGTAAGCTTGGTAAAGTTCCAAATTAGTTTGAATTTTGAATCAACACGACAAGTTTGAGGTTAAAACAGGTTAATAACATCTCTGTCTTGAACTTTCGACGGCTTTTACCGCCAAATTAGGCGCTTCGTTTGTAAATCGAGATGAAATACGGGAAAAGTTCCGAAAAATCCCAAATATTCCTGAAATTCTCCGATTTGAAAAAGTTCCGGGAAATTCTCCGGAATTCGAAAAAAGTTCCGAATCCGGAGAATTCTCCGGGAAACGGGAGCCCTGCTGGCAATGATTGAATAATTTTCACATAAAGTAAATATTCTACTGATAAAAAAGACGTTTCATTTATTAACAAAGGCCAAGTTGGAAATTTCATACTTTTTTTTCTCTCTCTCTTTCAGAGAATTTAACTTGAAAATATGTTCTTACTCTATTCATTGGCAGAGTTGGGGACAAAATTGTCCTTTGTTTCACTGTTCTCGAGGAAGGCAATGATGTCAGAAAAGGAAATGAGGAAAGTTATCAGTCATTACCGACTATCAACAAGAATATAGTAGCAGTGGGATCAAGTTGGACTTGAGAGGAGTTTTTTGCCAGAAATATCTACCTTATTTAAGAAACTCTTACACAAATCTCAGAAATTTTTCAGAGTGCTTTAGGTTAGGAAGTCTTGGATTTTTTTCGTAATTCCAGACAATGAACTCTGTTGAGTATGGATAAAGGAAAATCTACTTTTTGCTTGCAAAGATTTCAGAGAATCTTTGTGAACCTGACAAAATTATCTGAGATTCTGAATAGTCTCCTCATGGGCCAGTTCTTGAGCATTTCAATTTCTTGAGTGAGGCACATTCATAAGAAAACTCTTTGTAGGATGGATGATGCACTTGCAAATTGCCAGTTATTTACATATTCTTAATTTTTGCAAGTTCCTGATTTATTACCTGTGGGTGATTTAATTTTTTAAAATATACTTAACTTTCAAAGTTTCCTGAAAATGTTCATGAGAGAAAAATTCTTGTTTAAAAGTGTTTTCGATCACACTTTCTGTATGAGACTGCCTGAGGATGTTCAAAGTTGAATCAAATTTTTAAAAAGCTTGCAAATTTTGTTTTTTATTCATTTAATCTGATAAACATCTGAAGCCTCTGATCAAGTTTAGTTTGAAAAGAAGTAATCACAGATTCAACTTAATTCATGATTACGAGTTGTTAAAAATCCCCCCTCCAAAAAGAAACGAGGTAAAGCAAACAATCAAAATGTGCCATTTTGAAATTTTATTTAATTTACAAATTAACATTATTGACATCTCAGCCTTAGCACAGAGAGCCTTAGCATGTATCATAACTTGAAATACAGTGAACAAACACAATGTTAACTTTTTTCAGCCAAGATTCGATTGACAGTAACTTCAAATGGGAACTTCCATTAGAAAAAATAAATTAAAAAACACTTCTAAAAAAAACCTTTCTAAGAGTCAGTAAATAAATTTCAAACATACTCAAAGCAGAAACTTGGAGAGTTCTTCTTTAAAGATTATGTACTTAGGCTTGTTTTTAAAGTTTTGTGGAGCACTCAAGGTACGTAAAATTATTCAAGACACATAAGTAACTCAATATACCTTTTAAAGCAAGTTTCCATTGAGAGAATATGGCAGTTCATTTGTCCTCAACATAAGATGACCTTAGTTTAAATTGACTTATAATGGTGCACCATAAGATTTTGCACTTGGGAACGGATGTATAAATCTCATAATAGTTGCTCGATAATGAAAAATTTCCAAATGCAACACATTTGACATTTTAAAGTATGCAAGTGCCCACTTGGCAAGGTGAGATTCCCCCCGCAACATTTTGGTGGATATGATATTCATAATCCTTCTTGTGTACCTAGTAGGATGGTTATGAACGTGAGAAAAAATTGGGAGAAACTGAAGAAGACAAGTTTTTTCCAGCTATTTTATTAGTGCCTCAAAATCGCAGTAAATTATTTCAGTTTCACGGTAATCCTGTAGAACCACAGATAGTATTTGGCTTACTAAATAATTTGCCCTGAACAACAGACAACTTTATTCAAATTCATCATAGGTATTATGTTGCCAGAACAGTAGCAAGTTTCAGTTTTGAAACTTCAACTTTAGATTATGTCGTAGCCCGGAAAAGAAAAGATAAACAAGGAAATGCATAAAGGTAGGTCCCAGAGAGAGATTGATTGAAAGTCCATCCATGCCTTCATATTTAAAGAAGGGCAGAACGTGCTAAATCTTTGAACAAATGCAAAGTAAAGATGACAATACTGGAGAAATAGAATAAAAAAAAGACGGAAAAAGAGCACAGAGATTGTTTCTCCTACACAATGAGCCCATCGCAAACAACAATCATTATGCCTCAAGATCGTACACAAAAAGCACTTCACGTTTTTTCAAACCAGCTGATTCTAGAGTTGTTGCTGCATCTTCTTCTATATTGAGAATTTTTTTTGGAAAATTTGTTGCAATTTCTAGGGAATCTGGTGAGTCCGGATGGCAGAATACAAAATGATAAATATCCTGAAACAAAATGAAGCAGATCGAACTTTTATATAAGCTGCTAAACTATTAAAAGAGAAAAATTAGATTTTGTACGAAATTCATTTTTGGATCTTATTGAGTTCATATGCATTACTCTTCACAAGACAACAACTCCTGCGACAAAATTTTATTGTAAATAAGTGCATTGCATTTTAGCAATTTATGCTTCAAAGATGTTGAGTTTATTATGAATACATTTATGAAAACATAATCAAAGGATTACTAACATGAAAAATTTGTACTTTTTCTACATGATTTATGAAAATGAGTCAGTCGCACTAGTTGCAAAATTGTGTTTAAATAGTTTAAGCGTGCAGATTAGGAGAAATTTTTAAGATCCGTCTAAACGCATTTCTCCGTCCAATATTAACAGAGATATCTCTGATAAAAAACCACAGCATATGACATCATCCACCACAACGGTGCATACTGTGGTTTCTTCTTCCTTACATTCATGAATTAGTGATCTTCACTGGTTGCTCAACTTACAACATGGATAGAACAAAGGTGAAGGAAACTATGGTATGCATCATAGAGGACAATGGCATACTCCATGTTTTTTGGGGGACGATATCTCCCTTGATAATGGCCGTGGAAACTTAGAGTTAGGACACGTCTCAAAATTTTTTGCTGATCTATGCTCAAAAACTGAACAGAAGGTGCTATCCACTTGCTATAAGATTTGTAGATCTATATGAGATTAAAGGAAGTCATGTGCAATATTAAGGGAGCCTCTTTCATCTCATTTTCTTAGTGTACTAATGGGTCAATTGCGCTGGTCACAGAATCGTGTTTTGATGCTTGATTCCTGTAAATCAACTTAGAATAATAAGATCTGTCCAAACAGCAACTTTCCGTTCAATATTAACCGAGATATCGTGCTTTGGAAAATTCGGTATATGACGTCATCCATCACGGTAGTCACACCCTCGGTTTCTTCCACCTTGCTTTCATTTGAGTTCCACATCGAGTAATCATGTGTCTCCCAGACAAATGAAAGCAAGCAGGAAGAAACAAAAGGTGTCACTACCATGGTGGATGAAGTCATAAACCGAATGTTTCAAAGCAAGATACATCAAATAATATTGAACGTAAAGAGTTGATGTTTGGACAGATCTTATTATTTTTAGCTAATTTACAAGAATCAAGCATCAAAATACGATTCTGAGACCAGCGCAACTGACCCATTGTGAAAAGGACTTCCATATTCATGCTTTGTGCAGTCATTATTTTAGGATGTCCCAAAAAATTTATGGTGACAAGTTTGAGAATTACCTTAAGGGTATGTGAAATAAGAAATCTGCGTTCAAGACGATCACCACTGGGCAATTTGAATACAATGCTAACGGCTTCAGGATGACTAGGAGCAGGTTCATCAGGCACTTGAGATCTTAGTTCCAACTTCTTCCGCTTTAACTCCTGAGAAAAATTAAACCAAAGGAAATATAATCTCTCACAAGAGGAGGAAAAAGCAGTCACAGAATTCACATAAATCAATGTTATTTATAAATATGAACAACGATGATGACCACCCCTGATAGAGGCGATAAGAGCCTGATATTTTCAACACTTTCCCCGATCGCTCCTAATGAAAAACTGGATACAAAAATTTTGACAAAAAAGTTGAATTTGCCACTTGACAATTTTTTCAATCAAGACAATGATCTAAAATGCTGTGACTGCGAGTCCTGATTTTTTCAGGTTTTCAAAATTTGTCACCAATTCTTTCTTTACCGTAGCTTGATAGTTGCTTGGCAGAATTCTCATACGAGTTGGTATACATCAATTTAAGCTTGGTTCCTCTCTCCAGTAATTATGATGGACCTGACTGATTGAAAATTACGAAGTTATTTTGTGTGACTCAATCTAGCGCTTTCTTTAGTAAACAGGGGGTAACCGACTGATAAGACACACAATATATCTGTTCATTTTTTTAAAAAGAAAATTCAATTTATTTCATTTTAAATAAAGGCAAAATTGACGTATAAATCATTTTAATTAATATTTTAACACTGAAGATGTCCACCATCATGGGAATAAAACGGAATCTTGCCAAATAATTGCAACACTCATTGAGGTTAGCTCTTCTGGTAAACATTGCCCAGATGAGACTTCAAACATTATAAAAAGAGATGGATATTCAAACTCTCAAAATATATTCTTTATTAGCATAAAAATAGACTGAAAAATTTTCCTTGAAATATCATAATCTTTGATGAGGTAAATAAAAATTGAACACTCACTTCTCTGCGACACCTTTCTTCTTCCTCTAGTTGTCTTTGATGCCTTTCTTCTTCTTCTTTCCTTTGACTTTCCCTCCGACGCTGGCGTTCTTTCTCTTGATCTGCACGTAATGATTCAAGGAACGCTTCATCTTGTTGCGCTCGAAGAGTTTGATTAAAGCTACGTTCCATTCTAGGGGAGGAAAGAATATAATTGATGTTAAAATATTGCCTGATATTTTATTGGAACTTTTAAAGTTTCTAACTTTTAAACAAATCCACAGTTAAAAGAAGAAAAGAACATCACTCTCCAAACAATAAATTGACTCCACCTGTTCAAGAGAAAGAACAATCCGAACAGGTCAGGCACTGCGCATCTTTTTGAGACTTACCTCCCAACCTGACCATAGTGCCCATGACATAGAATTGCCTGATTTCAAAATGATCCCATCACAAATACAGTGCATTTAAACTTCCCACTGTCACTGCACGGTAGGCAGGTTCGTCACAGTACATAGAAACTTAATTTTCCTGACATTTCTTTGATTTACCTGATACATTTTGGTAAAATTTTTTGACATTTAACGCTATGCCAAATGATTAAAAAGACATAATTTGAAATAGTTTTCGGGCGAAATTTGTCATTTGAAACGTCAAACCCATTCTAAAAAGCAAATTTAGATAACTTAGCGAGTTTTCTCTGACATATCCAAGTTTTCCTGACTGTGAAAACCCTGAGTGTGGTCTCAAAGCTTATCCAAGAAAATAACTGACCTGTGTGGATTGGTCTTCGTCATGAACTTGTCAAAGGTTTGAAATAAAGAAGTTTCATTTGAGTAGTTTTCTGTTTGAAAAATAAAGTATGACAGGAAGTCTACGATGTCGCAAACCGAGTTATGTGATTGTGGACTTACACCGTCGATATGTACTGTGACACAATGTACACTGAAACTTGATACCTCAAGTTGTTCACAAGCTAAACCATTACTGACAACACTACTACATGAAAGGGACATTTTTCAAGCGATATTATATTCAGAGAAGGGCGTAACTTATTCTAAGAAACAACAGAAAAATATTTTAAGAGGATCTAAAGAAAGGCAAAGCCCGTTTTTTTGAATGACCTACTTTCTCTTCATCCAATGAATAGTTCAAAATTAAATGCTACTATCCTCATACCTGTCGGCTCTCTCAGCAACTAGACATGCCTCATTAGCAGATACTATGGATTGAAGTTGTCGAATGAGCTCATCTGATTCCATTGGCCCTTCTAGTCTGAAAAATACAAATTTATCAAAATAAAAGCAAAGTAGACAAATGAAGGTTACATCGAAAAAGAATAGATGCCTGGTAATATGTTTTCATAACCATTTCTATCAATTTTTCTTCATCCTGAGCTGATATTCTGTGAAAATTTAGACCAATAACGTTCATTTTTTTTTCCTTTAAAAAAAAATCAAACAAAAGCAAAGAGTATGAAACAGTCCGATCTAGATACATGCTTTGTAACTTTCACCATCGTGAATCTCTTCCCAAGATGTCCAATGTATACAGAAAAAAAAAAAAGAAGAAAAAATGCATCTAGTACATATGCTTTTAATTACATCAAATTAAGGTCTCTTAGCTCCTCTTTTTGTAGAGCAAGCTCATTATCTTTAAATTCATCAGAAGAATCATTCTTATGTTGATGTCTTCAACTGAGTTCTAAAGAATAAATAAATCTTGCAAACTCACAACATACCTTCCTATAAGGGTCATTTTCGAGTCTCGAAGCATGATAACAGCAATATAGGGGTAAGTGCTCCCTTGGAGGGCATGACAAACACGATAACCCTCCCCGGAAGACACATTCACTGCCCAGAACAACATGTTGCTATGATTTATGTAGGATATTACATCTTCATTTGACAAAGTTGTCCTAAAATAAAGAAAAAAACATTAATATCATTGCAAATAACAAAAATTTCAATAAGAAACATATGAACTGGAAAGAAAGAAGAAATCTTGAATGTTTTAATACAAGTCTGGCAATCGAAAGGTTCTTTTCTCTAATGTATTAAGAATATACTTAACCATGCACAGGAAAGGGACCTTGAAGCTGAAAGACTTAAAATTAAGATAAACCTTAGCTTGAAAGAATAATTTGAGGGTATTAAGCTTGAAAAACGCCTTAAAATATCAAAATAAATCAAAGTTACCACAGCTTGAAGTTAGAAGTCTTAAAATATACTTTTGCGAAGAAACTTTGCAGCATTTCAATCTGTGTGATGGGGACTCAGGATTAAAATTGTTAGTTAAAAAAGGATTTTTGTGCCCTCTATGGTCACACAAATAAACTAGACTTCTTGCAACTTGATGAGCACTACAGATTTTGCGAACAGCCTGTAAGGAAGGAAAACACCACTTACCTGCAAAACGTGTTACAATCTGCATTGTTATCTGAGTGCAGGTAGACAATGAGAAAGCGGAGCTCTTGTTTTGCATCTGACAGTGCTTGACTATAAGTACCTTGATAGAAGACAGGATGACTTTGCCCAAATGTTTTTTCAAAATAGTTGATGAAACGCATAACGTCACCTAATGGATCAGTTACCTCTGAAAGAACAAATAATAAATAGAATTATTTCAAGAGCAAATACTAGCACTACGTAAAACTAATCATACGGAACATTCTCTTATGGCTGAGAACGGCGTTAAATGGTAAAATGTTGCCTTATTTTTCATGTCATGATTTATCTGTATCACTTTATTATATAATATAGTAACTATACAGGGTTATCCAGAAGTCTGGGACCCCCCTTATAACTTTTGAACAAAAAATGCTAGAGATTTGAAATTTGGGGAATGTTCATAGGTCAAAGGGAACTACTTTTTGGCGTACCCAAAATTTTGGGGGGNAAATTTTGGGTACGCCAAAAAGTAGTTCCCTTTCACCTAGGAATATTCCCCAAATTTCGAATCCCTAGCATTTTTTGTTCATGAGTTATGAGCGGAGGCCCAGACTTTTGAATGAGCCGCCATTTTTTGGCCGCCATTTTGTTAAAAATTGAGGTATCGACAATCGGTTTGCGCCAAAAGTTTTCTTTTTTTAAGCCCTTTCGAATGATGTATCACAAGATAGGGGTTCCCATTTGAAAAAAAAAAGTTAGGGTCCGCCCCCCCTCAGGGGGGGCGCCCCCCAAAATTTTGGGTACGCCAAAAAGTAGTTCCCTTTGACCTATGAACATTCCCCAAATTTCATATCTCTAGCATTTTTTGTTCAAAAGTTATAAGGGGGGTCCCAGACTTCTGGATAACCCTGTATAGTTACTAATTTTACCTTAAGTCTTTAATTCATTGTAAAAACATAGCATACATACAATTTTGACTTGCCATTGTTTTGGAAGATTCTTCCAAGTTGAAATCACAACAACAAAGACAAAGTGAAAAAATAAGAAAAGACTGCCCGTTCTTGGGCAAAAAGTTATACTTCTCTTGAATCCAGCCAAGCTGTGAATTAAGAGGGGAGTTTGCTTACGTTTTCTAGGATCAGTCCAAAAGAGACTCAGGATAAAATTCGTCAACGAAAGAAGTTTGTCAAAACATAGGTTATACAGGTGGGATATGATGGCTCCAAAAGGGCCACCCCACCTCGCAGGTGAGTTTGAAGGTGGAGAGAAGAAAACATGCTGTCTGCTCGGATCATTGATGACTGCAGGCGGTCCAGAATCTGATGCAAATACCTGGATAGAAGAAAATAGTAAGAGTTAATTCACCATTCAAATAAGATCACTTGCTTATTTTCTCACCTTTCACAGGATGAATCTGGTTAGTTGCATTGGAAAAGAACATACATATGAAATAAATTGCTTTTGCATGATCCAAAGCAGGCAATTGGGACTCATCAGACCAGAAAAAGTGAAGGAGTAACAAGCTCATTCACACCTGGTATCAGGCAACTTAGCATATGAATGAAAAAAACAATTAGTAAAAAATATCGATGGTGTAAGTCGGCAATCACATAACTCGTTTGCGGTGTCTGAAAATCTCCACTGCAATGTTATTTTTTAAAGGAGAACAAATTGACATCATTCCTTGAAGTTTTTGCGGAGTTTTCTTTGCATAGAGAAGGAAAATCAAGGCAGTTTTGAAGAATTTCCGTTGAGTAGTTTTCAGTGTAAAAAATAAAGTATGGCAGGAAGTCTGCAACGTCGCAAACCGAGTTATGTGATTGCCGACTTACACCGTCGATATGTAACTGAGCGAATGAACACAGAATGTATGGACCCAGGGGACCATTCAGCTTGAGAAACAGCTAGAGCAGAGAATATGCAGGATGGGAGATCGTTCCCTAAGTCTTCAAGCAAGATTCGTCATCTTCTGATAGTTGAAACTGAGGAGGTGAAAAATGGGAGGGCTAAGAACTTTCTGCAGCTCTTTACAGTTTACAAAATAATTTTGCTGAAAAAGATATGCGCGGGTCAATTAAACCTGTCTTCATTGGCATTGAGCATTTCAGAGCTGAGATCAGGACAGACAGATCTCTACTTACGGAATGTTTCTGTCTCTTGTATAAAAAGGGCTTGAAAATTCACCAAATTTACTTCTTGGCCAACCCTTCAAAAACTTTCGTGGAAACATTTCAGTGTGAAAGAAAAAAATTAACAACTTTGAAAACATTGAACTGCTTTTCTATCCATTGGTATCTGAATTGTTTCACATGGAGGCTCTTGAAGGGTTAAAGTAGTAAAATAATTCAACCCATTTATGCCAAAAAGCCTTTCAGCCGTGATAATTCTTATACTGATGGATTGATTCCTCTTTCATACATGGAAAACATCATCATCTACTTGACATGCAGTATCTCAAAAGCACCTGAGCAATACGTTTTAGTAGTGAAAAAAGAATATTGATGAAGCAAACTTACAGTTGGTCTGCCTTCTCTAATGTTCAATTGATCTTGGACGGCTGACTCTAGGTTCCAGCCATGTCTTATTAACACATCTCTACAGACAGTGACGTTTTCAATACCGGTTAGATCCTGAAATATTCAGAAATAAAATTAAATTAGTGAAATTCACAAAATGGAGTTCGATTAAAAGAGAAAAAAATTTGAGCTACGTCCCTCATCAACGCAACATATGGAAGACTGCACAATACCAACTCCCCATGCCCTACCATTGCTCTTTGGTTCTGTCCTGTCTTCCCAAAAATGCAAGGAATCCTGTAGAAATAACGTGAGAAAAGCCTTTTTTACTCTTCAGGAAGTGGATTTATACAGGGTACAAAATTCATCACCACAGTTCTAGTCACGATAGGCCGTATTCACTATATTTATTTGGCTGAATCTACTTAGTAGTCAATTGAAAAAGAAATATTCAACGCTGAAGATGGAGCCACATACGGGAAGAACAATGCAAACCTTCTTGTATGTACATTGGAGAGGGGTAAAGAGGCCTCCGGAAGACGCACAGCAATGTGGTACCCATTAACTCAAAGTATTTCCCTCCTTGACAGCACGAGAGTCTACTTTCTCGAGCGACCAAATTATTTCCTCATACGACAAAATGATTCTCAGAGTTCCTTTTTCCATAATACTCATAGAAATGGGGAAATGTTACGGTTGAGGTTTTGAAAACTTCTTGTCACTTTACAAAGTAAATAAAGATAGGCTATTTTGGCCACTTGGTTGATTTTCATCGATAGGGACTTATGCCAGGAGCGCATGATGAATGCAGAATTAATGAGACTTGTACCTCACTGCAATAGTGCTTTGAATTGGGGGTGATCGAAATTTACCATTCTCCAATAATTCCTAGCGGGAAGGATCTCGTTAGAGATTAGGGGCGAGGGTTAGTATGGTGATTCAATACATTCGTTCTTGATGAAAGTCACGGATCGGAACTAGGACATAGAATGCCAGCAGTGCCGTTATTCAACATTCTTGTAAACCTGTAGCAATAGGGTGATAAAGGTTTTAAATATACGAGCTCCACTATAAGCTGATGTGGAGGCCAACTGTGTTGATAGTCTAAAGACCACATTGAAATGGAAATTCAATCTAGATATCAGCCAGACCATAAATGATGAAATAAACCTCCTTACCTGAAACTGTAAAACCTTCTCAGTCTGATCTGAAGACAAACTCATGTCCAGATCATCCATTTTTGAAAAGTTATGATGGAGAGAAAGTTTGCAGATATATCATCACAAAACGGGAGAACAATAGCGTGAAAGAGAGGTCAGTGAGACTTGAAGATGCAAAATTTCGTCCATGCACAAGTAACGGGGAACAAAGGACCAAACACGGCGGAAAGATTACTCAAATTAAAGTGGAAACGAAAATAAACTTGAAATGATTTCACAATGCTGAACTGAAAACAGTAACAGTGAAAGAAAAAGTGAAGACAAATAATGACAGATAAGTCTTTCTATCTTTTATCACAAAGGTTAGTAACTACGAGGAAGATAAACTCTATCCGGTTTGTTGACACTATTTACATACGCTTTCAGCGCTAAAGTTGTACATAGGAGAGATTGAGAACTACAATCATCGAATTCAGGCACAGGTAAAAAAATAAATTACAAAAAAAATGAGGGCGGAAGATGAAATTAAGACAAACGAAAATAAAGCTTGCAAATTTTTTAAGGTTTGAGACTTTTAATAATTGCAATAAGCTCACGAAATTCCAATCATAGAGGAAAATGATCAAATGCATACGTACATTGACACTAGCGCTCCGTGCGTTCTTGTAAGTAATTCCTAAGAACCTGAGGCACCAGAGTGGCATTTCTTGTAAAGCTAACTCATACATTCATTTGGTTATATTTTTGGTTGATTTGGCTATTATTTTCGTTCCGTTTTCGAGCGTTAGCGTTATCAAATGAAGTGGTGAAGAGCAGAGCATGAGAATTATTTTTTTTATCTTTCGACCGTTTATTGCACTTGTCTCAATGTCAACTGCTGCACTGCTGGACAGCTAACTCGTGACTAACTTTTGAGTTTTCCAACTTGTTGAAACACACGATTTTTCAGTCGGTACGTGCGGTTTTTACTATCTTCGAAATTAGCATCGCGTGACACTCGTGAGTCATTGAAGTCCAACAATCCAACATACTGAATGACTATTATCAACAGCATCAAAGCTATCCTGATTCAGCTTTACTTAAATAAATTCTGAGGTGAGATACAAATATTCTTTTCATTTTTGAACTCTTCAATCAGCATACTTTAACCGCATTGCTGTCAGAAAGTTGGAATCGCATCAAATTTTACCAGTATTTGTGTAAAAGCTCGCCTCAACCCCTTTAAATTGATCTGACTTATCGATGTTTATCTCTGAGAAAGTAAATTCGGTGTTGTTTATCTTTGCTGCTGCAGACACTGTGATACCTCCAAATCTATCACGAAGAGACATGTTTGAGGCTGGGAGATGACTTTTTGCGATCAAAAGGTCATAAGTTTTGCATCGTTCATCATAAGTTGTTGTACCATGTTTCATGAAAGCTATTTTCTTCCCGTAGCTTTTTAAGATCTGGTGTATACTCTGTTTTCCTATGAATCATAACTAATCTTTTTACAACCGCGCCCCTATCTTGGTGTAATTTAACAGGATTTGAATATGTTTGTAGTATCAGTCTGTAAAGCTCTGAGAGCTGTTTCATTAAGAGCTTTCCAGAGCCGCCTGAATGTGCTGGAGGAATATGTAGAGTAAGTTCATCACAGTGAGCAAGTTTGAATATCTCATGTGACCATTATCTAGTCAACAGTCATGGACATATGGATGGGTATGGTAGCCTTATGGAGTTTGATCTCTGGCCAACCAGAATCTGCTTATCAGCAGGTTAGCTCTGTTTTATTCTGCTTTTACCTAACATTCATTAATGACTTGTATGCAGGGCCATGTCAAAGAACTGATCGCGCCAAACCCTCAGAGCCATGGTCTGGATATTTAGGTAGGGTGGGCTGCTTTGAAATGCATTTGCTTACCTGACAATGCAAGCTGTACGAATATTGGTACCAGTAGCTTTAAATCGACCTATCTTAAAGCTGACCTTACCATTAAAATCCATCTATGTTTTACCTAATAACCTCAACAAATTCTCAAACAGACTTTTGTTTTCTTATGTCAATAGGTACCTAAAAATTCACCCTCAGGATTCAGGTGAAATATTTTCCCACCACAACATTTCAAAGCATATATTGCTCCTAGTACATGTTATCAAAAGTGGCGGATGAGAGGTGGAGTCAGAGATCGGCATAGTGTATTGGTTAGAGGTTGAAAGGCAGGGGCATTGGCTCATTCATAGAACTGGGGTTAGTCAAAGCCATTCAACTTAACAATAGCCGAAGTCCACCCGACCCGACCCTACCCCTCATTAGCGTTTTTCAAGGGGTGGGCTTTGAGCTTTTGAAATTCTTTAATTTTTTCAAAAAATGAGGAAAGTTTAGTCTACCGATAGGCGCTGCATTCCAAATCTCTATTTGTTGTTTCGTGTGTTTTCCCAGCTTCTGTCCCCATCAAAGTCGTGAAATGTCTTAGGTTGCCTCCTGACACTTTTGAGACCTCATAAAATCCACTTGCAGTTTCATTGAGTGGTTCACATTTTCGACTGATCCTATTTTCCAAGAAGAGCTGACAGGCTTGAGCTGTACTAAATTTTTGTGAACATGTATTTGATTTTTTGTCAACACCCTACATAGGGGCTTATGCAAAAACTTTACACCGGCTTCCTTTTAATATTTCATTATTGATTCGTTTTTTTTTTTATGAACTCGTTCCTCTGGTACTCTGATTCGATAATCTTGAGGCGATCAGTAATGTTAGGCATATTTTCAACAAGCTTTTAGTCCTGCCGCACCGGGCCTTATATGAACTGTGGGTTGATGTACATTTCTGATAAAACTTTTTTTCTAATACTTCTGGAAGAAAAATACACGTGTTATAAAAACACGTGTAATACACGTGTACACGTAAAAAATTTACGTGTTGAGATGCGCGCTCGAATTTTTCCCAAAGTGACCATGAAACGACTTTCCCGCGTTCGTCGTTCTTAGATTAGAGATGGTAGGGGCCGTAACCCTCATGTCAGGACGATATCGACGGTATATTTTTAAAAAATTAAAGCGTCATTCGAAAAATTGACCACGTCACGATGAAAATCAGTAATAGTTTACTTCATTGGCACAATTGGCAACCTGCCTTTAAGTTACGGTGCAACCAGCAAAGCGCCCTCAGTTAGTGTCGCATACGACGAAGACGATCACTTACTAACTCCTGGATACAACTATTCGGGCTCCATGGATATCCGTGTTGCATACGCACGAAAGTGAAGGCGTTTTGACCGTCCAGGCACTCGCCAACTTCACCCGCGGCGCGGCGGCCAACGGTGGGCCTCATTGCGAGGATCCAATACGGCGGAGCGTTTCCAATTCTTCGTTTATACTAGAAAGATATCTCCTAGACACGAAGAGTTGCATACAGGTGTAGAATGTGAGTATCTTTTGTGCTTCAGTTTTAACATCGCTACGTGCAGCAACTTTTCATGTCGAACAGATGTCTTCGAAGTATAATTGAAAAATTGAAGGCAATCTGTCATGCAGTTAAACCCGCCATACAAGGAAATCAGCCCGCCAGAGAGGTTGGGCATGAGCTGTTCGACTGAAACTGAAAATTTTGATGTTAATTATTCATATTATACAACATTTTGCAGGGCCGGATTTAGGGGGTGGCCAAGCGGGCCGCGGCCTATGGCGGCTAATTATGGGGGCGGCAAATTTTGCAATTTTTTAAAATATAGGTGTTAAAAAAAATTGGATTCGGAAAGAGAGAAAAGGCGACAAAATCTCTCATCTCCTAAGAGTATAGTAATTTCTAATTTTGTCGTCTTTCGGTGATACAAGAGACAGCATTTTTAATTAGTCGAGTTAAGAGAGAATCCAAACACGCAATTTGGCCTGGAGCGGCGCGGTGCAGAGGGCGATGATGACGGGGACTTGAGAAGAAAAGGAGAAGCCCTCGGCGGGGCGGTCGGCATGTAACACATATTAGCGCCTACAAGACTGCATGAATACTTCACGCATTGCGTCAGACACAGTGCGGTCAGCGCGAAACGCATAGCGCCTACAAGACTGCATGAATACTTCACGCATTGCGTCAAACACAGTGCGGTCAGCAGCGGTCGACGTGAAACGCATAGTCCCGCAGGACTGAAGGAATACTTAACGCACTGTGCCAAACACAGTGCGGTCAGCGCGGCGGCGGAAGTTGAATTTATTAAACCGCATTTATGTTTATTCCATCACAATTTTTTCGTTCATTTCTTGTAAATGGGAGGCCTTGTCCACATAGAGATACGTTTACGGAACCTAACTTTCATACAAAGTTCCGTGAAATTTTGCTAGTGTTGACACGGGTTTCACAAAATGTGTGCCCAACACGAGTAAAGGCGTCTTATGCACCCCCCCCCCCTCCGGTACGTTCACACGATGGTTTTTTATTGATGTTTCAAAACGAATGAGAAGGGGGCGTCAAAATACAGGGAGCCCTTGCTGCCATGCTAAGGAGAAACGCCGCATGAGCCATCAGGCGATGCCAAATTTCTCTCGGCAAATCTTTCGTTTTCAGGAAAATTTTTTTTGAATATTTGTCTACCAATTTCTCAAATAAGTTTGTTTGTAGTCGATCTGAAACTTCCGAAAATTTCGAGGAAAAATATTCATAATTGTCTTCAAAAATGAACTTTTTATCAAAGGACTTGTGGCAATTCTCGAATGTTCATACGGCGTTCTTCCTTAGCACGGCAGTATGGGCGGCTAGTAGGTAAATCCGGCCTCGACATTTTGTGGGGTGCTTCTTGAAAGGAGTTAAACGAAATAATCAGTGAAACCCCCTCTAAAACCTTTACGTTCCGTATTAACACCGATGTGAGCTTTTAATGTTTCCATATTTTGTCCAAGTCCTCTCATAGACTCGTTCCACTGAGCGCTACTGGCGAGGCTGCTAGTGTCTGAAATCAAAACGCCTTCACTCCTGTGCATATGCAACACGGACATCCATGGAGGCCGAATAGTTGCATCCAGGCGTTATCATGAAATTCGTCTAGTATGATGGTGTCCATCACATGCGACACTAACTGAAGCTTTAAATTTTTATCCTACGTCTTAACTTGATCACAGCGTTGCGTATTGTACCGATGAAGTAAACCATCACTAATTTTCATCACCCCATTGTTAATTTTCCGATAAATGCATTATTCAAATACATAACAGCATTGCTGGCCCTCAGAATCGCAAAAACATTAGAGTTTCCTTTAATCTACTTTAAGTAGTCTTCTTTTGTTTAGATTTTTTTCTCTGGGAAAATTAATTTTCGCGTTGAAGTGCAAAATTCTCGAAGAAAAATCCTGATGATTCTCACGGAATTTGGAATAAAAGCGGTGTCCATCCGTCTTTCAAAAAATAAATTGCGACAGGAAATCTGTAAAATCACAAGCCGTAATACACGTACATGATTTCCTCGGTGTATTGGCGAAACCACACCACAATGAAGTCCAGTAAATATTTTAGCGGAAGTTATATTATTTTCTGCTTTTTCCCTACTGAAATGTGGGCTGTGCCTAGTTTAACCCTGTAATCACTTGAGGCGAGACCAGAATAAAGGAGCATTGTCGCTCCCAACCAATTTAGACCTAATGAGTAGATCCATTTTTCTCGGCCATAGTCAATTTTTTAAAAAATTCGGGGGGTTAATCCCCACTTGGAACCCCAAAAGTTTAATGTGCGCCAGTTTCGTTAAGTACCTATACATATTAGAATGCATGTTCAAAAGTACTATTTCCCAAATAACATCGGTCGCAATAAATTCTGATACATGGTAAAGTACTTATTGCCACTGCATTGGAATTTTATGTATGTTGCCTATCTACTAATTGAAGGAGCTCCACGTATTGCAATGATATTGAAAGTTGGTTGCAATTTTTCTTTGCGTTTCTTTCCTTTGATTGATATTCCATGGAAAAAATATGCTTTTTTATTACATTAAACTTAGGATGTTTACAAGTCCGGGAATAGTACTGATCTTTTAAGGGAGATCCGAAGTACTGAAAATGTGCGGAAATTCCGAAAGAGGTCCGGAATTTTTTCATCGTTGCGTCATTTTTGTCTCGATTTGAGCAAGAAA